CCATTCACCTGTCCACTGAGACAACCAACCATTCACCTGTCCACTGAGACAACCAACCATTCACCTGTCCACTGAGACAACCAATCATTCACCTGTCCACTGAGACACAATCATTCACCTGTCCACTGAGACACAATCATTCACCTGTCCACTGAGACACAATCATTCACCTGTCCACTGAGACAACCAATCATTCACCTGTCCACTGAGACAACCAATCATTCACCTGTCCATTGAGACAACCAATCAGGTTGAATCATTTCTTGTTTTTGTTCGTCTCTTCCTCCTGCAGGTCCCTCAGCTGATCTGTGGCTCAGCAGAACCAGAGCCCCCCCTCACCATCGTGGAGAGCCCTCCCCCTCCCTGCGAGTCCAGGGCTCAGCAGGAAGCAGGGGAGGGGGACGCCAAGGACTCTGTGACAGGTAACAGGAAGTGGATCAGAACCTGGTCTGGACTCTGAGGTCTTGATGAGTTCTGCATCCGGCTGGAAAAATAACTTTATAAAAATGTTTAAAATGCTGAGTCAGCGTTTCTGGTTTTAGTTTCCCCTGGCTGTGTCCATTTCAGAGTCTGCGTCCTCCGAAGGAAGAATTTTTCGGCCACTTAGGTCACAGCGCCGTGCCGGATGCTGTCCAAATCTAAAGACTCCTCTGATATGGGCTTCTTTACCTCAGTTTGAAGGATGGTTCCAGTGGATCCTTCTTGACCCATCATATCCCATAATGCACTGTGGGCCCATCAGAGATTATTTTATGTTCCTAATGTTAGACGAAGTGACAGAGAGAACAGGTTAAATAAACCATGTTGGTATAAAATGTAAGTTAAAACCTGCTCCTACAGCAGGTCCATTAGTTCTTCAGATATAGACTTAAGATCATTTTATTGTTTTATGATATTAATATCACTGATATTTTTCTAATTTAGTCTAAGTTTGTTCTGTTTATCCTCCTCACCAGTGCTAGGTGACAGAATATACACCGGGGTAAGACCGTCCAAATTCACTTTTTCCAGTCTTCACAGTCAAACAAGGACCCGGCCCACCTAGACCAGGTCCTTCAGACAACCTAGACCCTGAATTTAGACACAGCCCATGTTTGTCCTTTTGTCCGGTATTTTTTACCTGAGACTTTGAAAAACAACAACCCAACCAGACATTTAAAACAAAGACAATCAGAGACCGGTAAAGTTTAAATGATACACTTTGCGCAAAGGGGAAGAAGTTCAGTGTACTTAACTTGAGCCAAGCTCAGAGAAGTTCTCCCAAAACTTTGCGGATGTGATCCACCTTTATTCACATACGTAGAGATTACGACACAACAAGTCATATCCAATCATAGTACAAATGCTATGTCACATCAGAGCAGAAAGACCAATCAGAAACTGGTTGCTGGGGCCCATAGCAGCTGGACAACTAGAAAAAAATTTATCATGTTAGTCATAACAGTTTGTGAACTTGACTAAAACCTTGGATGTGCTAGAATATTTTGCAGTTAGATCATTTGTCTACACTTGTTCTGTTTGCACAATGTACACGCCATTAAACCTAAGAAGTTAGTCACGTACTGGAATCTTTATTTGGAACATATTAAAAACCTTATAAAAACCTTTTCATCCAGTTTGATTCAGAGTCATTCTATCAGACCTGAACAGATGTTTTCTTTCCAAGAAGAGGTCAAAGTTGTCCACATATCTCACAGAGTTGTCAGCACAGGACTTTTCCAAAAACCCATTATGAGCAAACAGTCTGCTGAACCTCTCAGCTCCTCCTCTGACTGTTGGAACCGGTCCACTGATGAAAACTTCCATTTCCAAATCTTTAACAGCACTCAGC